CAGGAAACAGGAAAGTAGGCAAACAGGAGTGTGTCAAGGGTGTGAAAAGGGCAGGGCTTGGGATGGGGGAGGGGGATGCTAAGGGACCAGGAAACAGGAATAGCCAAATGTGGGGGTCCAGAAGGGCCTCCCTGGGAATTGACATTCTGCCTGGAATGTGAAGGAGTAGGAGCTCGGCATATACAAAGACGTAGAAGTGGGGCATTTAGGGACAAGTAAGGGACATTCCTGCCAGCTTCTCTGGCTTGTGTCCTACTCCCCATATCTGTTACGCACCAGGAGTCCCTCCTCTTGCTCTCTGGCCAGGAGAGAATGCCATGGTCTTCCCCCAGATTGTCCTGGCCCACCCTGCCCTCTCCTAAGTCTCTGAGTGTCAGTGACCCTCCTAGGCAGCATATTTGCCTTTACACTAAGAAGAGCAGCCCCAGGGTGCTCCTCAAGGAGGGGCCCAACTCCATGGGTCACCACGGTCTGCTCTGGCCTGGGAGAAGCAAGAACTGGAGCCCAATAACTGGAAATATTGCCCCACTGGAGCCACAGTGCCCAGGACTATGCATGGCCCTGGTATAAAAAGAAGGGACCCCACAGGACAAAGGGTCCTCAGGAGCCCCAAGTCTCAAGCTGTCACTGGCTCTCACATGCAGACTGGGGCTGTGCAGATGACCAACTGTCCACTTTTCTTGAGCCTCCTCCTGAGGAGGAGACTCTGGAAGCATGCCACCAGAAGGCTGAGTATCTGGGGCTACCATGGGTGCAGAGGTCCTCCCTCCCAAAATGTAGGGTGAACTAGGACTGAAAGTGGGTGAAAAAGCACATGGGGAGCTATAAGGAGCTTTATGGGAGAAACACAGTAGGTAGTTAATAAAGGTTGGATGGATAGATGATGGATGAATATGGATGATGGATGGATGGATAGATGGATAGATGGATGATGGATGGAGGAAGGATGGATGGATGATAGATGGAGGATGGGTGGATGGATAGATGGAGGATGGATGGATGGATAGATGGATGGATGGAGGAAGGATGGATAGACGGATGGATGGATGATGGATGGAGGAAGGATGGATGGAAGATGGATGGAGGATGGATGGAGGATGGATGGATGGATGGATGGATGGATGGATGGATGGAGGATGGAGGATGGAAGGATGGATGGATGGGTGGATGGGTGGATGGGTGGATGGGTGGATAGGTGAAAAAGTGAATGGCTGTGTATGTGAATGTATGAGAGCATGAAGGAGTGAATGAATGAATGAATCAGCGAGCCATTAGGTGAATGGGTGGATAAATAAATGAGTGAATGAATAAATGCATGCTGGAGTGAGTAAACAAGTTAGCACCTGAGTAAATGAACTTCTAGTTCAGAACAGAAAACCTAACTTGTTATCACTTCCCTTAGGTGTAGGGAACCCCTGGAAAGAAAGCAAGAAGGGAGAGAGAGTAGCCTGAATCTTGAATAAGCTGCACTTTCAAGCTTCCTTAGGAAAGTACCACCTCTTGGCTTCCTGGAGAGCCGTGTGTACTCAGAATGAAGTGTGCCCGAGCTCTGGGCAACATTCCTCAGCCCCATTGGGGCCTGTTCCAGCTCTGGAGTATCGGCCAGGCCGGTTAGGTCACAGTGGAGTGACTCAGACCTGGCAGCCCTGCACCCTGACAGCCTGCAATCCAGCCCACCCACTCAGTGTTTTTGAGATACGTTTATGCCCCTCAGACCCAGAAAGCTCCCTAGGGCTGCGTGCTGTGTGCTCAGCATTTCCTCCCTGCCTTTCTAGCCCTCCACGCATCTCCCACTGCCCACTAGAGCACTGTCCAACCCAGTGTGATGTAGTGGAATCTCAGAGGCCTGGGGCAGATCCTTAGCTCTGCCATTTAGGCTGTGTGACTTCAGACAAATGCCTTAACCTCTCTGAGTCACAGTTTCCTCATCATTTAAACGAAAATCTTGCCCGTGTCGAGGGGTGGTTGCGAGGATTCAGTGGGATAGTACATGCCGAGCACCCAAACTGCGCCTGGCACAGGATGTACACCAAGCACCTATTTCCAGGCACTCAACTTTTTCTTTTGGCAGCAATTTATGGAGCATTTATAAAGTCCCAGCCAAGCACAGTGCTCAGAGCTTACACGCATTACCACATTCAGTCCTCACGAGGAGGGTGTTAGGGGTTGAATCGTGTCCCCCTCAAAACATAGTGGACGTCCCAACCCCCAGGACCTCAGAATATGAGCTTATGTGGAAATAGGATCTCGGCAGAGGTAATCAAGTTAAAATGCAGTCATCAGGGTGGGCCCTAATCTAATGACTGGTGTTCTGATAAAAAGGGGAAATCTGGACACCGAGACAGACGCACAGAGGGAAGACAGCGTGAAGACACAGGGAGAAGCCGTGTGAAGATGGAGGCAGAGATTGGAGTGATGTTGCCACAAGCCAAGGAACATCTGGAGTTGCCAGAAGCTGGAAGAGGCAGGAAGTTCTTCCCCTGCAGGTTCAGAGGGAGCTTGGCCCTGCCGACACCTTGATTTTGGACTTCCGGCCTCCAGAACCAGGAGACAATGAATTTCTGCTGTTCTAAGCCACCCAGGCTGTGACACTTGGTTGTGGCAGCCACAGGTAACGAATGCAGAGGGATTGGCCCCATTTTGCAGATGATGACACTGAGGCTCACAGGGATGGTGGCGGGAGGGTGAGGGGCTTGTGCTTGGGATTCCAGGGTTTAGGGGTGGAACATATGGGCGTGCCTGGGGGATGTGTCGTGACAAGGGGTCCAAGACTGTCAGATGGGCCCTGCATCACTGCCCCTGCAGCTTCCCCACCTTACCCTGGTGACTGTCCTCCCAGCCTCCCTGAGCTCCTCGGGCTGGGGAGACATGCGCACTTATTGTTCTGAGTTTGCTCATGTTTCCTACATGCATCAACAGCACAACCTTAAGTTGCGTTGTTCCAGTCCAGGAAGAGCCAGGGGTATTACTGTGGATATTGAGAAACACATCTCAGGTAAGAGTCAGAAAATTGGGCCACTTCCAGGCTGTGTGACTTTGGGCAAGTTACTTAACCTCTCTGACCCTCAGTTTCCTCATCTGAAAATAGAACTACGACCCACCTTACAGGATAGTGTGGGGATCAAATAAGATAAGGCATAGGAAGCACTTAGCACTGGGGCAGGCACACAGAGGCAGGCACTCGGCTACATCTGCTGTAATGGGGATGATATCTCTCGGGAAGCCTAGTACTGGAGGATCACAGGGTGTGTTTACCAGACAGACAGACACACACGTCTCCTAACAGGACAAAACGCCAGACAGGGGCCCCAATCCATACCCTCAGAGGCCCAGGGTCTCAGCCCCCGACCCAGAGCAGGGAAGGCATCTCCGCACACTTCCCCACCAGCTGCCATCCAGAGCTGCTTACCGGCCAGGGACCCCGAGGAGCTGTCCCCCCAGCCGTCTGACACAGGTGCTCCCAGGAGCACGACCAGACGTCCTCCCCGCGGAGCCCGAGCTGCAGAGCCTCACCATGCCCACTTCCCCGCAGGGTCTGAGCTCCCCCAGGAGGCTCCTCTGGCTCCTCCAGAGTGGCTGTGGATGGGACGGGGGCTAGGGGGCTGGCCTGGCTTTTCTAGGTCAGCACAGAGGGGAACAGTGCCCCAGCAGCCCAACAGCACAGGGGGTAGCGGCCGACTTGTGCACGGGACTCCACGGAGCAGGCGGTTGGAGAAAATGCCAGACAAAGGCCAGAGAAGCTTCAGCAGCAAGGGAGGCTCGTTACCAAAAGTGTCTATTCAATGCCAGGAAAGTTCCCAGGAAAACGCAGCCTTGGCAAAAGCACATCAGCCAGAACAAAGTGTGTGTAGAGAAGGGGGAGTGTGTGTGCACTCATGTGTGTATGTGTTAGCAGATGTAGGGTAGGGCAAAGGTTGGAGAAACAGGCACTTTTATGTACACTGTTGGTGCCAACTTTTGGTAGGGCAACTTGGCAATATCTGCAATATATCAATGCACAGATCTTATATTCAACATTTTCTCCATTCGGAACTTATCCTCTAGATAGAAGCACACTTGTGTGCAAAGATATAAGTTCAAGGGTGTTTGTTGCAGCCTTGTTGGTAAGAACAGAAACCTCATCTTGCAATTTCACTGGGGCTCAGATCCCAAAGGGCAGCTCTCTATACCACACAAGGAACTCTGACTTTAGCCCAGGGACACTAGGGAGCCATAGAGGGCTTTAAGCGGTGGGGGGGACATGTTCTGATTTGTGCTTTGGATGGATGGTCCTAACAGGGCAGAAAAAGCAGAGCTGGGGAGATCAAAGGCTGGGAGACCAGCTAATAATTCAGGCTCCATTCCCTCTCCTGTGGACCTTTTAAAAGGCTCATGGTGGCTGGTGGGATGTGCGGTGGGAGAAAGAGGGGACAAAGATGATACCCAGGTGATACACAGGAGGGCTCGTCCCCTTCTCCAGCCATCAACCCTGCTGCCTCTGAGTAACAATGAGGGGCAAGGACAAGGGATTTCTTCAAAAGTCAGAGCCTTGTCTCTCCCAACACTCCAACCTGGAGAACTGGCCAGTGCATCAGGCCGGGATCTGGAGTCCTGGGGCCTAGGTTCAAATCCAACTCCACCAGTGTGACTCTGAATAAGTTACTTGATTGCTCTGTGCCTCATTTTCCTCATCTGTAAAATGGGGATAACCAAAGACCCTACCCATAGAATTCTTGTGAAGGTTAAAAATGATAACGTGTGTAAAGCACATAGAAAAGTGTCTGGGACACAGTAAGTGCTCATTAAATGGGAGCTGTTCTTATCATAACTAGGCATATGGTAGACATTCTGTAGATATTTACATAATGAATATTTGTTATTAAAATCAACCTGAAGGCTCATCATGGAGTGAGTTTGAAATTAGGGAACAAAAGTTCACAGCAAGACCCCCAGCCCTTTGAACAGATGGGAAAGTCAGGGTTCCCACAGAGCATCGGGGACACACCCGGGCCCCACAGCTTGTTGAACAAACGGACTTGGTCAGGCCCAGCAGGTTTGTCAGGGGTCTCCTGAGCACAGGAACCCCCCCATTTCTTTAATATGGACCCACAGCCTCTGGCCCAGCCCTGCCCTAGGACCTTCTCTGAATTCAGTTGGCCAACTTCTCCTCGTGTGCCTGCTTACATCGTCTTCACAGACTTGGGCTCCTCCCCAGGGGCCTGGGAAGGTCGTTGATAATGGAGACTAGCTGGGTCCTCTGGAGGCTTTCGTGTGTCCATCGATGGAGGAGATGGGTTGGGGGTCCCAGGGAAGCACCTCACTCGCCAAAGTCCTCCTCCCTCCCTGGCGAGAGTTCCCCATCCACTTCGGCCGTTGCCGCTGCCCAGCTGACTCCAGGAAAACCAAGCTGGAAACAAATGGAAGGTTGGGTCTAGTGGTGACCACGGAATGAAAGAGTGAGAGAGGGACAGATACGTGACGGGGTGGTAAGGGCTCTACACACAAAGGACAGAGTCCTTGAGTGGAGTCTGAACATCTTCTCTTACCCCACTAATTGTACACAAACAGGACAGGCTACATAATTTGTGGGGCCTTTTAAAAATGAACATATGGGGCCCCTTGTTCAAAAATTAAGAATTTCAAGACAGCAACAGCAGAACATTAAACCAAGCATGGGGCTTTTACGAACATGGGACCTTGTGGGGCTGCACAGGTTACAACCTGTGAAGCCAGCCCTGCACCCAAAACTCTGAGTGTATGCACGTGTGTGTTTTTCTGGGGAAATGGCCCACAACCAGGAAAGGTTAAGAATCAGTGTAATTGAGATTAAGTGAGGGTCCCTGCTTCTTACACCCACCTCCTTTCTCCACTCGGAAAGGCAGGGGCTCCAAGTGGTGACCGACAAGGGCACGGAGTGGGGGATTAGTGACATGTTGCATGAGCAGACTTCGGAGTAGGGCAGGCCATAGTGACTGTGGGGACAGAGAGAAGTGGACGCATGAGAGATGGAGTCTAGGACTTGCTGATGGACTGGATGTGGAGCAGGAGGAAAAGAAAGGCATGAAGGCTGACTCCCAGGTTTGTGGCTGGAGCAACTAGACCAATGAATGGTAGTGCTGTTCACAGACGTGGAGAAAAGCTGGCAGAAGATCAGGTATTGTATTTTGCTTTGTTGGGTAGCAAAAGGAATCAAGAATCCCATTCTAGTCATAAAAAGGTGTCAAGCAAACAGATAGAGCTCAGAAGGAGGACTAGAGTGAGATACACATATTTTGGGGTCAACGGCATAGAAATGGCATTTAATTCCATTGGAATGGATGAGGTCTCCTAGCTTTTCAATGGACGCTAGAGCTCTGTTACTTTGGGCAAAGTATTTCTCTGCACTGCCACTCAGAATTCTCATTTGTAAAAAGGAGATAAGAATAATATCCTCTTTGTAGGATTTTATAAATTAGCTTGTGAAAGAGAAATGCTTAGCATAGGTCTTGGTATCTATTAAGCACCCAGTGAATATCAACCATTATTATTATTATTATTATTATTAATATTATCACGTCATTCCTTCTACAAATATCTGTTGAGCCCCCATTGTGAGTCAGGCACTGCTGTGGGTGCTTTGGATACACCAATTATCGAGTATGTCAGAAGGTGGTAAGTGTTATCTATAGCAAATGAAAATGTTGAGCAGGGTAAGGGGGTCAAGAAGTAGGGGAGAGGTTGCAATATTAAAGAGGATGGTCAGGGGGCCCTACTGAAAAAGTGACATCTGAGCAAAACCTCAGAGGTGAGGGAGTACGCCAAGTGATGTCTGGGGAAGAAGGGTTCCAGGCAGATGGAACAGCCAGTACAAAGACCTTAAGGAGTGTGGTAGAAGGTGAGGTCGTAGAGGTAAAGGGTAGGGGACCCTTGTAAAGAAATCCTTCGTGGCAGAGGTGGCTGGTCTTCCAATATGGCAAAAACAGGTCTCCAACACAATGAGACAGAAGGTTCTCCAACATGGTAGACACAGCCAGCTCTCCAACATGGTGGAGGGAGCCAGCTCTCCAGCATGGCTGAGGGAACAGACCTCCAGTATGGTGGAGGCAGCCAGCCCCCCACACCATAGAAGGGCCTCACCTGGCAGAACAGGCTCACCAGCAGGGCCTCTCCTCCTCTTGGCTATGGAGTGTCTCCTCCCAGCAAAACTTGGTTGGGGCTTTGCTCCAGGGCTCCCAATCAAAGCATAAATCTGAGTCATTTTCCTCTGAATCTGTGGAGGTATGAGAGGCTTCTTGGGTGGTCAGATCTTGTCTCCTCCCCATGACCCAAAAGGAGCCCCCTGCCAGGCCTGAGTATTCCTGCAGCCTTGTCTGCGGCCAGGGGGCCAAGGCAGAATCATGACACATGGGACAGCTCTGAGACCTCGGGAAGACTTCAGTTCCTTGAATAGTGACCAGCGATCAAGAAAAAAGGTTGTCCTGTGACTCAGAAAGTGGCCATATCCACCTACTAAACAGAGAAGGACCCTAGAGGTGAGCAAATGACCTACCTGCACTGGGTGTGGTCCAGAAGTGGGTACTAAGGAGATACAAACACAACCATCAATCCATCCATCCATTTGTCCACCAGTTCATGCATTAACAAATATCTGAGTATATAAGCACAATGCTTTCCATTGCAGCACTGTTCTGTGGTGAAACACACACAAACAATAAAACACCCTGGAAACCATGTGTGTGTCCATCACAAGAGAACACAGTCTGGTTCACTGAAGTGTGGCACACTCACACTGCATGGAGACCGGGCCCATTCATCCCATGGCATGTCACGAAGCTGTCAAAATGACTGTATTAAATCTGTATCTTTCAACTTGCAGGATGTCTATGATACATTACAAGCAAGTTGCAGAGAAATTTACATGGCAAGATCCCTTTTTTTGAAAACAAAGAACACCCCACCCCCTCATTTTTTTGGAAGCCTACATGTTATTAAATGTACATGAGCTTGCTAACACGGCTGATCCAGGGAAGGCAAAGTGAGAAAGGACGGGGGGCAGGGGTTATTATTTTCTTACTATATTCTTGTTCCAGTGGTTGCAGAGAAGTAAAGGAGGCTGCATAGGGCCCTCAGATTGCAGACCAAGAGCAGGAGATAGAAAAGGCTGAGCCTCAATTTCCTCATCTGTAAAAAGGGCATAACAGCCTCTTCTCTGATGAGGGCTAACTGAGGCAGGACATACAGAACAGGCGTTCCACAAAGTTGGCAGTTACTATGAGCTAAAAACCAGTGCAATGGCTTGAAGGGACTGTTCTTTACTAGAGGTAGAGATTGTTTTTTGAACATATACTATGCGCTAAGTGTTTTACAGGCATCTTCTCACTTAATCCTGTTAACAACTTCCTGAAGGCAATCGCTGGTATTATTCGTATTCTACAGATGCGGAAGGCTCAGCAAGGTGAAACGTCCAGGGTCACAGCCAGACAGGGGTACTGCTGGACCCCATCAGCCTCCCGGCTCCACAGTTCTGCGCAGTTCCCATTGGGTGCACTTGTTTGAAGACAGGGAATTCAAAGGGAGCTTCAAATTTAACATCTCGCTCCAGGGACCACCACAAGGGAGAGCAGGACCCTCAAGAGGCATGGCCTGCTGTGTCCCCTCCTCTGTTTCAGCCCTAAACCCATCTCTTCGGAGGTTTCCCTTCTTCCTTCTGCAAATTCCTTTCCAGTTGCAAAAGGAAAACATCCTTGGCAGACCATCTTCCCCTTGAAGGGCACAATGTGGCTCCATCCTCTCTCCCCGTGTCACAGCCGGGGATGAGCGTTGTCCGCACTGCCAGCTTCCCCAGAGCTCAGCTGCCCAGGATCTGTCTTTGCCTCAGTGCCAGCCTCACCAGGCAGCTCCCTTCTCCTCCCCATTTGCTCCCCCCTCGACTTAGGGAAGCGCGAACCCTTGGGCCACATGGCACTCGCCGCTCAACTCTCTGCCTTCTGGGGCTTAAAACTGACCTGCTGAGCCAGGCCAAGAGGTCCTGGGGCGGGGCTATCAGAGCTACTCTTGTCTGCTTTTTAGACGGGATTCCAGGCCAAACTGATTCCAATAAAGAGATCCACAGCAGAAGAGAAAACCACAGAACGGGGTGTCCTGAGCCCCAGCCCCCAAACCCTGGCAGGCCCAGACCCTGGGCGTGGGCCAACTCCCGGCACAGGGACAGAACAGACACGACGATACGGAGGGTTCCAAGAAGACAGGGAGCCTGAGGGAGGACCACTTGCCTCACTTTAAGGATGGTTTCTCTTCGTTGCAGAATTAGCAAAAGGACTTATTTCAAAGTGCCTTGTGAGATGTTAATGGGTAAACAGCCTCTCAGGACTAAGTCCGAGAAGGACTTGGGCAGAGCAGGTTGTGGATGGCTTTTGAGCAGCACTCCAAGAATGAATTGCTGGAGGAGATTAATGCCTTAGACCTGAGGGAAGGTGTCTACCCACTTCCGGAGAAGCCACCCAAAGCCACTCCTACACTTCCACCCACCTGGACGAAACCGACACTGACCGGGTTATTTCTCAGCCTACAAGCACCTGCTGTGAGTGTATGCATACTGTGTGCCCTGCCCTGACGTGCATCTCTCCACAGCCCCCAAGGGGTCAGCACCATCATTGTCTCCACTTTGTAGATGAGAAAACAAAGGCTCAGAGAGGACGCGCCCAAAGTCACACAGCTGGTAGGAGGCAGAAGCAGGACTGGACATCAGACGATCGGTACTTCACAGGTGTGTGACCTTGGGCGGGTTGCTTCTCCTCTCCAAACCTCAGTTTCCTCAATTGTACGATGAGGATTACTTCACAGGGTTATTCTGAGGACTAAATGAAATAATGCACCTCAAGAGTTTAACACAAGGCCTAGTACACAGTGTTCAAAAAGCTATTATTATGAACTATGAAGAGCAAGGCTGAAATCCGGGCCCACGTCTCCCAGACTCCAGAGACACGGCTTTTACAGCCACTGCACAGACACGTGCTCTGACTTCCACCAGCCACCGGCCCAATGCCCGAGTTGTGCCCCTCAGGAAAGGCTGTGGCCCACCCCGAGAATATGAGGAGAACATGCTCTAAACAAACGTTTTCTGGAAGCTCTAGCCAGGAACTCCCAGTAACTGCACAGCCACCAGCCCCCACATTTCAGATCATGGGGCAGATTAGGGGGTGAACTGCTCACCCTGTCTCAACGCCATCTGACCAGAGCTGGCAGCACACTCAGTGCCCTCCTTGCCCAGCTGGCCAAAGGTCATGGGGCTGAGGAGCAGGAGGTGGGAAGTCAAGCGATCCCCAGAAAGAGGCCCCTCAATGAAGAGAGGGACCAGGGAGGCAGGACACCTGAGGAGCAGAGTGTCATTCCTGCCACATGGCCAGGCTGCACTCAAGGCCCATTGACCCCCAGCGTCCCTCGCGGCCAGCTCTGCCCTGCCTCCTGCTCCTCTCAGTGGCATGCTGAGCTCAGGACAAATGTCAGTTGACTTCCGTGATCCTGTGTCCCAGAGAAACCCAGATCCTCCCTGATGTGTGGTCTGAGCAGAAAACAGTATGAGCGGTCCCTTGGCACCTGTGCCGTGCCCCATCGTGCAAGTTGTTTACTGCACAAAAGCACTGAGCTGAAGAGGTGAGAGGGACTGAAATCCAGCCCATGTTCTGCTCACCGAGCCTTGTGCCCTGGCTGCATTCACAGAAGGGGCACCTTTTACTAATTCATCTGCCCAGAGGGGCTACCTTTCTGATTTGTACCAAAGACCTTATGTACTAGCAGTGGCCCTCAGGGGACACAGATGTGCACACACACATATCGCTTCCCAGGCAAACTCAGGGATTCTCTTTTGGACTCTAGGTTAAGAAACTTTAAACTACCAAATCAATCCTGTTCTCTTACAGGTGGCCGCTTGTCAACTCTGAGCCAGCAGTTCAAATGCCTGAAGGAAACCCCTCTCTCTGCAGTCGTTCCAGGACCCCTGCCCTATCTGACCCCTGCCCAGCTCCAGGATTAGGGCTCAGCCAGGGCGGCTCACCTTGGCTAAGTAAGAAGCGTAGCCAAACGATCAACAAGAACAACAGCAAGGCCACAGGCAGGCAGAGCCAGAACACCAGGAAAGAAAACGTGAGGTCGTTCACCAGTGGCACCAGAGGGTACTTCATGGTGCATGTGTGGCTAAGCGGGCCAGCCTGGGCTGGGCTAGCAAGGCTGCCCTGGGACCTGGCAGGCCGGGCCACGCTCTGCTGTCAGCCCAATTGTGACTAAGCCTGTGACGTAACAAGGAAGTCACAGTTTTCTTCAGGCGAAAGGAGAGCTGTTTTAAACAAATAGGTGAGAGCCAGGGCAGTCTGGCTGAGAACAAAGCCCAGGCTTCCAGGCAGATAGGCAGGCCTGGGTTTGAATCCCTGCTAAGACATTACGGGTTCATGTGACACCTCCTTGATCCTCTTGTAGGATGGAAATGATTCTTACCTCACCAAGCTGCTCAAAGTAGGGAAAAAAAAATGATGGGATACAAATTTCCCCCAGGTGAGTGTTCGTATATTTGAGGTCACAGATTCCTCCAGGAGCCAGTCAGCTCCCAGGTCACATAATTCAGGCTACACGTGCTCACAATTACACTTTGTGGGAGTGGTGGGGGCTGAGCAAACTCGATGGAGCTTGGTGCATCTAAAGCAGGCAGGCTGTTGTAGCTCCAGCCAGTAACTGCTATGTGGGAAATGGTCCAGTATGGCCAGATCTCCTGACTTTTCCAAGAGAGCCAAAAAAATCTGGATTTTTATGTGAAATCTCCCAATTTAAAAATGTTGAATCAAACCTTGTTAAAACATTGTTGGCTAACCAAAACAAGTCGGCTAGGCCAAATTGGGTCACTTGGCTGCCATTTAAAAACCTTCTAGTCTAACACACAGTAGGTCCTCAATAAATGACTATTACTTAACCCAGAAGCTTCTGCACCTCTCCTTATTAGGGTTTTCAGTGAGGGGCTTCTAAAACTTTAACCTTGTTCCTTTATCACCCAAGTGGGCAGAACATCCCCAATTGCCAAACTTCTCTGCCCCTCTCACTTCTGTCATGCATTCATTCACGAAGTAGTTAGTAAACTTCCATGTGCCAGGCCCCATAGCAGGAAGGAGGCTCTGGACCTCTCAAAGCCTGACAGTCCCCGAACTCGTAGGAGACTCGGGCCAGACTGTGAGCCTGATGGGTGCAGGAAGTCCACATGAGGAGCAGCTGCTGCTTGTGGAGGGGAGTCAGACAGAAGCATGGTATTCTCTACGAGGGTACTTGGACCACCTGCCTCAGTCACTGGCCCACAGGTAGGTGGGGGCTGGAGGCTACTTATGAAACCTGCCCATTCCTAAGCTCACCCTGCTCTACTGAGTCAGAACCTCCAGGGGGTGAGGCTTGGGACTCAACACGTTAATGGGCAACCAGTCTGATGAGACTTGATTTCGAGACCAGAGAATCTCATGGAGGACAGGTTGGAAAGTCAGGCAGACCCAGTTCCAGGCTCGGGGAGCAGCTGCAGGAAGTGGGTGGCAGACTTAGAGTAAGATATGGAGTGGAAGGACCCCCTTATAGGCAGACACCAGCCCAGGTAGAAACGCAAGTGGGGCCAGCCCCAGAAAGGCAAGCTGAGGCTTGGAGGGCCAGTGTGTTTAGAGGGAGTCTGAGCCCAGCTGTGAGATGACCAGAAGACCCAGAAGAGGAGGTCTGGGTAGATGGTAGTAGAATGTACATCCAAGAAGCACAATGCCCTAGTGGCCCAGAGCCAAGGCCAGGAGCTGGGTGGTCTGGGTTGGGGTTAGGGGTGATTCTTGGCACTGGGTCCTGAAGGGTCAGAAAGAGCTGAGCAGCACAGGTGGGACAGGCTTGAACACATTTTCTTGCCAGACCCCAAAACAGGGCCACTGTGCAGTCAGCCCAGGGAGAAGCTTCCCTGGCCACTAGGGCCCAGCCGGAGGTCCTATGGTGAGCAGGCAGAGCAGACGTGGACACACAACTGCAGGAGAGGCAGCTCCCAGCCCTGGCTTCAGGGCCAGGCTGGAGGGGGTGGCTTTCAGCAGAGGCACCCACCTAACTGTTTCCTCAAGTGGTAAAACCACCCCACCATGTGTAATCTAGGCAGTAAGGTGCTAATCTGGCCCCATGGAACCCTCTGCAGCCAACCCTACTCAAAGGGGTGGTAGACAGATGACCTCCTCAGCATCTCTCCCCTTTCCTGACTGGCCAGTCCTGGCAGAGCTCAGATTTTCTGCAGGCAGAGAGCACAGCTCACGTTTGTGTATTCCCAAGACAGAGAGAGCCAGCCAGCCCGTCGGCAATTGCTAGCTTCTGTAGGGTGGGCCTCTGTTGGCAGTGCTTTAATTATACAAGCTCCTTCTAGCACAGAAGGCCAAATTACTTTTAAAACTCTACAAAACCAGGGTGAAAATTCACATATCTAAATTATGAAGGGCAGCCAAAGCAGAGCCGATACCCCCAGGGAAGGGTAAATTAGGAACACCCATGCAGGAGTCAATCCCCCGGCCTATAACCAAAAGCACACACGATGTTATTAGATAAGAATCTCCTTAAAATTTAATTGACTAAATGTATTACATTCAATATTCCATGGGTTTCTTCTGGACAAAGGATCGGCATAAATACAAACAAGCCTCTGGGCCTTCTTCCCTAACCAACAAAGAGAAAACACAGGAGGCAAGGGGACACAGGGACACCTTCATATTTACATTTCGCCTTTACTTTACAGTTCAGTGCCAGAAATATTTACAGAAAATACAATAAGAAAAAGATCATGTCTTGGCAACATACCGAAATTCATACAAATTGTGTATATGAATTCAAGCAAATAATGATACTGCTTATGTTTTAGCCACAACTGCCAAGCCCTTCAAGAAAGATGTTCTTGGTCACTGCAAGAGACAAGGGCTTGGGAAACTTGGTTTGCTTCAACAAATAGTTACTGGGCGCCTACTATTTGCAAGGCACTGTGGAATCCCAAATTATACCTTTTCCCTCACCATTAAAAAAAGAAAAGCATCTGAAGAATATGAGTTGATACTCTGAGAAAAACACTATACAGTACATGGCTTCTTTAGCTACCAAGAACCCACAGTTTGATTCCACATTGAGCGGGTAGATTACCTCCAGTCTCTCCATTTCAAGAAAAGAGGCTGTCATGGAAACCCTTAAAACAGACCATCGTTTCATGTAAACATATAAATCAATTCTCTTTAGGAAGATATAACCTGAATGGGTTTTTAAATGCTGAATGGAGAACTACAGCCAGGAGGAGTGTCAAATTACCTCCAGTAGATTTTTTACCATCTACCACGAGACACGTCTTTAAGCAAGGGTGATTCCCACTTTGAGTAAAGTTCCACCTTCCAATAGAAACCACTACTCTTGGAAGACTCTGCCTTTCTAAAAATCACTCTGCAGAGCCTGATAAACGCTTCCTCAGTGTATGTAGAAAGTAACCATTCATGAAGGCCTCACACACACAACCTATAGGCAAGTGACATTACTGGCCAAAGATGCAGGTATTTTATACTTATAAATGAGTCCAGAGGAGAATGGGCTGTCTTGAAATAGAGGACCTAGAAATGGAGGACAGCATGCACGCACGTGTGTGTATACATGGCCAAGGCAGGAGGGGGTCAACCTACCACCTAACTATTCTTGTCAAAGGGCCAACGGACAGGAGGGGGTCTTAGGAGGAAGCACTGGACAAAAGAGACAGCTCGCTGAACGAGAAAAGGCAAAAGCCCTCCTCACTGTCCTCAGTGCTCCCAACCAGAGAGGAGGAGGAAAGCCCCCGTTCCCCAAATGTGAGAAGGGACTATGAGAGGCTACCTGCCTCTGTCCCTTGGGTAATGCTTTCCTTGTCACCAAATGCCACACTCATACCCCTGGTTCATCTGTCACATGCAACAACTAAACTGTTTAAGCCACAGACCAAAGTGGTCCTGGCTTCCTCCCAAAGGTTATGAACATGTGCTAGCAAATTTATCAAGTGGACTATTACAGATTATTATTAAGGACTAAATATGCTCCTCCAGCATTATTCTACTCAAAGTGATTTTTAACAAAGGCAGTTGGGTGAACTTAGTGACTACGAACTCAAACCTACACTAGTGAAAGGGTCCTTACCACACTCCCCTTTTAGGCAGATGTTATTTTGAGCAGAAGGAACCAGCACCTGACAAGTATACGTACCCCATATTCTGTTTGTGCTGTACTACACACTGGGGTTTCATGCCTTCGGGAGCTGCACAGTCCTGAATCCATCCCTCCTTCCCTAGGAGACCACAAAGTCTTCCAGATCACAAACCGCATTCAACACAGTTGTTCACTTATCAAAGCCATTAGAATTAGAAAGAGTTGCCTGAAATTAGAGCAAACTGAAGGATCAGGAAGCCTATCTCCAACACATACACCACCATACATTCTGCTGACAGTAAAACCAGGCCAAAGGTAAAAATTTTATCTGAGGAATCACACTGAGGAAGTACACCTACATCAGTTATTTTTAACCTCTGGAATGTTATGAGTTGCACACCAATTTATAGCCTTCTTTCTTCACATTTACTAGAACAAGGACCCATTTTTCCCTTGAAATGTCAATCTAGAATTTTCATGCAAGTTGTTAAACCTCACCTTATACCTGCTGAGCTACTAAAACATTTTTAGGGTAGAACTTGCTAATCTTTATCATATATCCCCCTCCCTCCATGCTACCATCTGGAAACATCAGTTTATTGCCCAGATTAAACATAAAATCAATTACTGAATAATAATATACCCTGAATGGAAACTGGAGTCATAGAAGAAGTAAGTTACCTTTACCTGAGCTTAAAACAAACATGAAGAAGAGGGTATGGCAAACTGAAAACCAAAAGCTGCTATGCCCACATTTCCTGCTCATAGATGACAAAATACATACTTCTGGAACAGAAATATCTGCAAAGGGACTTAGGTCCTACACTATCCCTCACTCCCTAATTATACTACCAAAACATCAAACCAAACAGACCACTGTAGCCCTGACCTACGGAGTCTACTGACATCAGAATTCAAGTGGGAAATCACCCCTTATATAACTGTGATCACTCCACTTTGGACTTTAAATGTCACTTATTATCTTAACATAAAATAATGTGAATAAAGAAGAAAGCACATAAGAATAGGAGAAACGAGCAGTGTATACTCTAGCACTGTAACAGGAATTCTTGTAAGGATGTTCTGGGTCTGGCCACCTTAAAA